TGAGGTTTAATTTCTGACCCTCTACAGGCACTAAGTGACACTACACTTTTACCAATCACAAATATATATATGTTTTCAAACACCCAACAATATAACCCATATTTCATTACATTTCACTAATCGTTATAGTAAAAAAATATCACATGAACATAACCTACCACGATGATTAATTGATGCAGATCATTCGTAGACTTATCTTTTACACTATAGCCTTTGATATATTATACATGTCCTTTGAGTGTGTTTGGTTAGGAGAATTTTTTTTTGTTTAGCATGAAAAGTTGTAAAAGTTATAGGAAAGTTATTTTTTTTATTTTTTATTTTTTGTACAATTTATATTTGCATGGAAATATTTAGTTTATTTTCACAATTTATTTTTCAAAATTTTTTGACAAAAAATTAAAAACTAAGGCCTCATTTGGCATGTCAATATTTTAGTTTAAAAGTCAAAAAGTTTCTAAAAAAAATAAAAAAGCCTATAATCTATATTAAAAAGTCAATTTTTTTTTTTACTTTTTGCATATCTTTTCGTAAAAAATTAAAAATTCATTTCAAACATACTAGTTTTTTTTACTTCATATTTTATAGCTAAAAAGCCAAAAAGTTAATAAAATAACATTTTCCCAAACAAGGCCTAATTTAGGATTGTTTTGAAAACTAGTTATTTTAGTTGAATTTTTAGTTTTTTTTTTATTATAAAAAGATGTTTAAAAAATTAAAGAGAATAGTTAACTTTTTTGTAGTAATTTTATTGGTTAAAGTAGCCTATTGCCAAACTTGCCCTAGTGAAAAAATAGTAAATAAAAAGCACTCATCATTCTCATACGATTTTATGTTTTTGGAGAACAAAAATATTTTGGGCAAATTACCAACACCCCCTCGAGGTTTAACTAAAACACGGATTCCTCCTCTGAGGTTTGAAAAATTACAAATTACCCATTGAGATTTATATTTGCATAAGAAATGAGGGGGTAATTTGTGATGCAAATATAAACCTCAGGGGGCAAGATGTAATTTTTCAAACCTCAGGAGAAAATTCATATTTTAATCAAATTTCGAGGGGGTGATGGTAATTTGTCCAAATATTTTTTAGTGTTTATTTTTTCTAAACTAATATCTATTTTTCCAAAATTGTTTTGAAAAAGTGAATATAAAATTGAAACAAAACAGAGACAAAGCACAGGAAAACCTAGCAAATTTTAAATTGAATCGTAAAAATAATTACTTATAATTAAAATTCTAAATTTATTTCTCTTATTTTCATCCTAAACAAATATATATGAAAAAATATATTTTATTTTTCATTTTTTTATTCACTTTACTATTTACTATTTCACTTTTCACCAATTATCGTTTTTAAACAAACCAACCCTTTGATAGTACAGCATATTTTACAGATAAATTGAAGTGGTTGTGTGTAGCAATATTGTACTATTCAATCAAGTAAAGAATTCAATTTCCTATTTTGATAGGCAGATGGCAAAGTATATCATCATCATGCATGAGCCATGTTTGTCTGAGAAAGAGAGGACACCCTCTCCACTCTCACTGCTTATTTTTTCGAAGTCATTGACGAAAATTTAGGGTAGCCCAGCCTACCAAGAGGTTAAGGGATGGTTTGGAATGTTCTAAATAAGTATATTTTTTGAATTTTTATAAAGTATATTTTTTGAATTTTTATAAAATATAGATTGAGTTTGGGTTGGGTTTGAAGTGATGTGGTAGAAAGGTAATGTGACTTAAATAAGATGATGTGACTTAAATAGAATAGTAACTTTTTGACTTTTTTAATACATGACCTTTTTAGTATTTTACCACAGCGAATTTATGTTCTCAAGCTTCATTGGATATATTTTTTTATTTTATTTTGGTGATATATACTCACTTGTAAATATTATCATTTAATTGGTATAAGACATGCAATGTAATATCCATTAAAATTTGATACTTAGATTTAGTATATAAGCATTTTTGAAAATTAAATGGGATTTGTTTCCACATATGTTTATCAAAATTAAATGGGATTTTTTTTTCAAATATTTTTATCAAAGAAAAATGCTATACAAACAAACAAAATTTTCTTATTAAGTAACGTGTCATATAATAGAGAAAAAATTTAGAATTTTGAAATAAGACCCATTTCAATAAAGTGTTAGGTTGGTGTCACATATAAAATTTATTAATTTGTATAGCATACTCTTTGTAGCAACTCATTTGGGATATCTCAACAAAATTGTTGAAAGACGATTTTATCCTCCATACTTTGAGAAGTCTCACTGAATCCCTTTTGTTATTATATATTAACAAAGGCTAATACTATAAGGGGTATTATGATAAATTCTCACAAATAGAAAAAAAAAATTTAAATGCCCATAAATTTTTTCCCATTTTAACAATTACTAAATGCATCAACTTTTTGAAATTAAAAAAAAAAATACTAAAAAAAAAAGGAAATTCACAAAACCACCCCTAATCTAAACTAGAAACCCATCTGCATTAAACCACAACATCATCTTCTACCGGACAATAAATAGGGAGACTTATGTATAGGTTAGGTGAATTTATTATCTAATAAAATTTTATGATAATTAGTGATATTTTTTATCAAATACTATTAGAAAAAGTCAATAATTGATAATTTTCAGCGACAGTTTGAAAATTGTGTCAAAAAAAATCACTAATTATAAGTTTTAGTAACAATTTAAAAAAATATCACAAAAAAGTCACTAACTTTTAATTTTCAATGACAGTTTAAAAAATTCATCACAGCAAAACGTCATTAATTGTAAATTCTAGTGACAATTCATAAAAATCATGAAAAAAATACTAATTGTTAATTTTTAGCGAGATATGTAAAAAATTATCAAAAAAAAATATTTTTAATGACAATTTTATTAAGACTTATTTTTAATAACACTTGATAAAAATTAAGGCCAAGTTTGGAAAGTCCCAACTAATCCATCTTTTTATCTTTTTTTTCATCACATTATTTCTCTACTTTTCTGTACATTTTTTCATAAAAAGATAAAAAATACACTTATTTAATTAATTCCAAACAACCCCTAAGGCTAATTATTAAAACTATGAATAGTTTACTGTTACACGAACAGTACAGAAGGTTTGAAAATGCATACAACTTTTGTAACAATCGAAGCAACTTTTGCTTTTGAAAACCAACTCCACAACAACTTTAGACAGTAAATGAGAAAATATTAAAGCTTCTTTTTTAAACCCACAACAAGCTTTTTACGATTTGCAAACACAATACACACAAAAAATAAAATCTTAATTCTCATGAATTCAATTCAATTTTTTTTGAATCTTTTTCACAGCTTTTTTCACTGTTCATCTCTTTGTGGGTTTCTCACTTTTTTGGTTTGTTCAGGTGGGAATGAGTGGTGGACTTAAAGCTGAATATAGTGCCGTGAGATAGAGACCTCTGTTTGTGAAGAATCAAAGAAAGATCAAAAAAAAAAAAAAAAAAACTAAAATCTAATAAAAAAAAAAAAAAAAAAAAAAACTCAAATCTAGTCTTTAAAAGGGGTATCTTTCTTTCTTTTGAAGGTAGAAACTGAATACTGATGATACAAGAAACTATCACTTGTACGTGTAGAGGTGGGTCTCTTTGTACATATTTGCATATATGTAGTTGAGAGTTTCAGTCATTATTACCAATTGTGGTCTGTGAGTTTCCATATTTTCATATACCCAAAATTTATGTGTCCATTTGGTGGTGCTAGGGACCCCAGCACCCCCAGTAGGCAAAAATAATTTTTTTTTTTTTTTTTCCCTTCCAATCACCCAGTGCCACGTGGCACTGGGGGGACACTGGCGGTCGGTTTTACTGGGTCTGCCGCATTTTTCGTCCTCTATAGGATGAAAAAAAAAAAGGAAGAAATATTGCAGAGTAGATATATAAAAATATTTTTAAATTAATGAGGAACTTTGCATAAATTAAAGTACAAAATAAGTTCTTCCATTAATTAATAATTAATTTTTGGCAAAATCAGTGCATTGTAATTGTCCCCAAAAAAATAATACTAAACACAAATAAATCACAGAATGAGACACACATTTGTGTGTTTGTGTTTCATCATGTAATTTGTTTTTGTTAGTAGTATTGTTGAAGGAAAAACCACTTCATTAATGAGAGGGGTGGATAATTTGTTTCTATAACAGAGCATGGAAAAATTAGTATGGTTACGCGTATAGAAAAATATACAGAAAAATCAAAATATGATATAGATATTTTGGGTGCAGTGGAAACTATAGTTAAAATGAATTTATGCTACACATTGGCTTCGGCCGTTGTACACCATAAAAAAAAAAGAAAAAAAGAAATTTATGCTACACATTAATTTTTTTGGTATGCTTTCTATTATATTTTAATGCGCATACAACTTTTTGTAGGGCAAACAATTCTTAATTAGTCTTTAAATTTTTGTCTTCCTAATCCAAAACACTAACAATTATTAAATTATGTCTGAAACTTGGCGTGTTCTAAGATTCTATCATGACAAAAATGGTCATGAATGTTTAGGAAGGGAAAGAACAACAACGCTAAAAACACATAACAAATTATAAAATGATTCACAGCAAATGCAATGCAATAGAAGGCTAAGATTAAATTCAGTTATAGAGGAGTTCATATTCATAATAAATTGCAGTCTATCATTATACTTCCAGTGGCTCATTTTGTGTTTTAATTATGCGGAAGTAGAGAAAGAAAGACTGAGAAATTGATGAGTAAAGGATCTTTGGTTCTTTTCCATGAATAAAATCCATCTCCCCAAAGGTTATCATTTTACTGTTTATTGTTTACTTTTTCCTTTAACCCCACCTTAAGTCTTCTATTTCATGGCTTTCATGCATTAAAATGCATATATCCATATTTTCATTCTTTTAAAGGAATCTGAAGAAATATGCATCAATTTAATGCTTGCTAAATATGCCCAACCTGTTTTTTTCCCCATTCCAGCATATAAACAACTAAATAAAGATAAAGACAAATAAAACTGCATTTTAATTATAAATCTAAAAATATATACAAGGTTTACTACTAATCCCCAGTTGATCCACCAAGAGAAACTTAAAAAGCTTTCCTCAGAAAAACACTATAAGAAGAAACTTAAACCTAAAAGAAGGTGATACGTACACATATATAGATAAATAGATATAAAGCTGAGTTCTTTAAGAATCTTGAAAAGATAGATTACTTCAACCTTTAACATTGGCAAGATCAAACCAGATTTGCTTGAACACCTTGATAATGAGTTCATGATATTCATCTGAATTCAATTGCAGATAGCAAGTAAGAAGATCTTCCAAGTCCTTTGATGCCCTTATGTTGTTTTGCAAAATCATCTCCACCATTGATTCCTTAAAATCTCTCTGTGGATCGGCCGACGACTTCACCACAGCAAAACTCTCCGACAGGCTGCTGCTCCTCCTTCCGCCGCCGCCACCGGAGCTCGTGGGTGGACTTAAAGCTGAATACATGAGCCTGAATCTTCTTGTTTGCAATTCTAGGAGAATTGGTTCGGAGTCTCAGCCCCGGAGAGCTCGCAGAGAGTCTCCGAACAGGGCTGGTCCTCTGTTTTGTGAGTTCATTGGAATTAATAATCTTCTTCTTCTCGATTTCCTGTATTGAATCCGTAATGGTTTTTTTTGTTACGATTGGAGGGAGTTGAAGCTTGGAAACTGAATCAAACACATCAAATTTTGAGTCAATGATGTCGATAACGATATCATCTTCGAATCTGCAGCGAACAGAGCTATGGTCAGAGCCAAATTCAGGGAAGAGAGATTCAGGGTCGGATGAGCTGTCTAGTGGAGAATTTGGGTACTCCTCGGAGGTTGAATCGGGCTTAGTAGAAACAGAGGAGACAGAGGAGGTGACAAGCTTAAGAGCTGGCTTAACAATGGAGGCTTTGTTTCTGGTGGAACGACTCTGTTTGGATGATTTTCTAGGCAATTCAGGGAAAATGGTTTCTGGAGGGGATTTTGGGGGGTGAAGGGGGGATTGTGGGGAAGGAGTGAGGTCTCTAGAGTAGTAGTAGGATTTTCTTTGGTGAGAGAGGAGGAGGTGGGGTTGGATTGGTTTGGATTGGTGTTGTGGTGGATTTGAAGTAGTAGTAGTGGTGATTGATGATGATGAGGATGATGATGTTGTTGATAATGATGTGATTGGCTGTTTTTTCTTTCTGGGGTGATTGATGTTTCGATTTCTGGTTCTACTGCCCATGTCCTTGAGTTTGTAAAACCAGGCATTTGGTATCATGTCTGATAGCCTGAACCTGTGGTTGCCCATCACGAACTCTCTCTCTCTCTCGCTATCTCTCTCTCTCTCTGATCTATTAAGAGAGCAAATGGTGAAGATAGCTCTCTCTCTCCCCCTCTCCAGTGTAGAATGAGCTTGGAAGAGAAGTAGGCAGAGACTTTTGTAGGGTAGGGGTGGGGTCCACAACCAAAGAAAAGTTTGGCATTAAAGTCGAGCGTATGTTTGAGAACACAAAAATTGATAATAAGAAGTAGGTAAATTACACTCACTTTGTCTCTGATAAATATAAAAAAATTTTCTGTTATTTGAATAATTACATAATTTTTTTTTAATTTTAATTGATATTGTTAAGATTTTTTTATTTTTTAACCTCTGTTAATACAAACAACAGAATCTATTGATGTCGTCCAACATAAATTCAAAAATATAAGTAATGCCTTCAGGGCTATTGAACTCAACTATATATACCAAGCACAACACACAGATTCACAGTGCACACAAATCAGAAAGTTCAAGCCAAGAGAAAAATTTAAAAAATAGCCAGAACTGAAAAAAAGAGGCATAAGACAGAGCTCCACAACCAAGAACAATACAAGTATGTTACCATTCACTTTCAGTATTTAAAAAAAAAAAAATTGACATACAACCAACCATTCCTATTAAAAAAATGAAATCAAAACCAAGTCCAACACAAATAATGTACAGCCACAGTCCTAAATTGCTTACAGCACAGTCTAGAATAAAGCACAACCACAGTCCAACTAGTCCACAAATAAAGCACAACAACGGTTTAGAATTGGTTACAAATAATGCAATATATGTTCTAAAAATGCCTTATAATTCTCACATTTCATGAAATGTAGGATCATATGAATATATCATCATCAAGTAATGGAAGATGGGTAATTAAGATTTGCTATTGTGGGAGCAAAACAACAATTAATGTAGCAATACAATGTGATAGCTATTGCTTCACCATAAGCAATGTGAGAGAGGACTGATGTAGTCACATCTTTCAAGGCATCAATATAGCAATATATATTGGGTCTACATCACATGCTTTGCCCACTTTGCCTTTATAGTTGATGATTAAATCAAAATAAGGGAATATAGCAATACTGTGATCATAATGAGTAACAATTAATTACAAAAGACAACTCCATTCAACAATTACTCATCCAAATGTAACAAAATTCATAAGTAGAAGACATAAAAATAAGAATAAAAGCTTATACAATCATAATTGCATAACAAAAGAATTAAAAAAAAAAATCCTTCAAACCTTATTTCTAAGAAAATTAAGAAGAAAACTATTTTTTTTACAGTAAATTAACAAAACAAAATCCCCAATTTCATAACATACATAAATAAAGTTCATACAATACAATCATAATTGCAAAAAATCAAAAATCATAACAAAAAGAAGACAAAAGAATGCCCAACATTTTAAAAAAAAGAAAAGAAATTACACTTGGCCAGTTGATCGGTCGGATGTCCGGTTGGACGTCTCTACAGACTATCAGTCACCCAACATCTCCTAGCCCAGACTGCTCATCCTTCCGTCAAGGCGTACAAATTCGAAAGGGACTACAAATCCGAGAGGGACTACAAATCCAGAGTTCCAAAACCAAAACAAACATGAGCTAGGCTCACTGTTCATCACTAATAGTCTGGATTGAACTGTTACTCCAGAAAACAAACGGGGATGAAGTATAAAAGAACATAAATCTTACCTAGAAATCTTAAAAACAACTTCTCACCGATCAATCTCTTTTACATCTTCGTCGTTTGTTCACACCGATCTGTCTTCTTCAAAGATTTTGTCTATATCTCTCTCTCTTCTTTCTCCCACAAAGTCGATCGAAATCAGAATAGTTAGTGAATTAGGGATTTAGGGTACAAAGGGTATTATCGTCTTTTCATTCTCCAAAGCAAGGGTAATAAGGTCAATTAGGCCTCGTTCGAGAACATGTTTTTTTAGTAACTTTTTAACTTTTTGGCTAAAATATGATGTAAAAAAATTAGTATATTTAGGATGATTTTTTGATTTTTTTACGAAAAGATGTGCAAAAAGTAGAGAGAAAAGGAAAATTTTGACTTTTTGGTATAGGTTGTTGATTTTTTGATTTTTTTAGTGACTTTTTGATATTTAGGCTAAAAAGTGATGTTGTCAAACGAGACCTTTAGTAACGTCGTTTGTGCCAATTTGACAGAATGAGAATCTTGACAATGTTAGTTAAAGTAGGGGAGGTTTGTGTAATTATTCATACCACATGAGAGGTCCCTGTACGTATCAAAAATCTTAGGGGAGGTGAGTGTAATTTACCTTAAAAGGTATGAAATGTGTGAATAATACATATATTTTGCTTAAGGTTGGTTTGGGATGTAGGTTGGTTTTATTTATTTATTTTTTATTTTTTGACTATTTTAGTCTAGGGCTAAAAAGTCTCGTTTGGGATGGGTTTTTTGGCTTTATTAACTTTTTTGAGAGAAAAAAATGAAATGATTATGATTTGGATATGACATTTAGGCCTCGTTTGGGAAGCGGCCTATTTAGCCAAAAAGTCAAAAAGTTACTAAAAAAGTCAAAAAGTCAACAACTTATACTAAAAAGTCAAAGATTCTCTTTTCTCTCTACTTTTGCGCATCTTTTTATAAAAAGTCAAAAAATCATCCAAAACATATTAGTTTTTTTTAGCTCATATTTTAGCCAAATAGCCAAAAAGTTACTAAATTAGCCTGTTCCCAAACGAGGCCTTAGTCTTATTGGATTAAAAAACCTATTTTATCTTTTTGTGGCTAAAATAGTCCCAACCTCACCCAAACCCACATATCAAATGAGTACTTAAGCTTTGTTTGGCATTGGCTAATATAGCCAACTTTTTTGTGTTGGAACTTTTTTAGTCTCGTTTGGTTTGGATTTTTTTGATTTTTTTTGACTTTTGTAAGAAAAAAAAGTGTAATGATTATGGATTAGATGTGATATTTTGTCTTATTAGCTTATTTAACGTATTTTGTCATTTTTGTACTTTTTTTAGCCCCAAAATGATAGCCAAATCAAGGCATAGTGTATAAAAGTGGGTTTTGTGCATGTTTGGTAGAGTTTTTTTTTTTTTTTTTTTTTTTTTTTTTTTTTTCCCTTTTGCCCACTTCTGCTCAAGCCGGTCTCACTAATGCTGTGTTTGGTTGGAGTTTTTGAGGTGGGATTTGGAAAAGGAATGAGAAATGTAATCCTATTTATGTTTGGTTATAATAAAAAATATATGGGAAAAGAAAGGGGGTGAGAAATAAATAAAGAAATAGGAGACCTTTTAGGACATCAATTCTATTTTATAACCAACACAACCAAACATAGTTGGGATTTGGAATTCTATTAATTCTTTCTCCTTTTCCTTTCATTTCCATTTCCCTTTCCAATGAGAAGAAATAACAACCTGTCATGTAATCTAGTGACATAAAAAGTTTAAAAACAGTGATATATAATAGTCCTGTATTTTACACGCAAGGATTCTTTTTTATGTAAATGGTGTTTTGGGGTGGAATGCCACTACAAAAAAATAAATAAATGTATAGTTTACTAAACAAACCAAATAAGTAATTAACAATTAAATAAAATATTGGCCGAGATCATTTTATTATGTAAATAAATTAAATTTGCACATATTTTAAAACTCATTTTTCAAGTCAAGCTTGAACAACATATTTTTCAGCTCGATAAATTTATGTCCAATATAAAAAAATCAAACTATTTTAATTTGGCTTTGTTAAAATTTGTTTGAGATCAACTTGAAAAAGTAAACAAGTCAAATTTAAAATTGTTTGTTAAGTTTTTTAATATAATAATAATAATAATAATAATAATAATAATAATAATAATAAATAAATAAATAAATAAAAAGCATTTTAAGCCATTAATGAAATAAATTTTATATTAATTGATACTAATTAATAATTTTAGTATTAATTGATACTAATTAAGCCATTAATTGATAATAAATTAAATTAAAAAAATATTAATAAATTGGTATATTTTGTAACAATTTTGTAATAATAAATTAAAAAAATATTAATTGGTATTTGTAACAATTTTTAATAAATCAAAAAAATATCAATTAATATTCATGTATTTATAAACTAAAATGAATATAATTTGAAAATTTTAATTGGTATTTTAGCTTTTTTCAAAATTTTAATCTCACCATGCATGCACCACTTCTAATTTGAAAAAATAAACTATAAATTAAAGAAAATAAAATAAAATGAAGAAAAAGAAAAAAAATTAAGAGAAGAAAAGAAAAGGAAAAAAAAGAAATAAGGAAAGAAGAGAACAAAAAATAATTGAGAGAAGAAAAAATAAAAAATAAAGAAGAGAAAAAGAAAATAAAAGAAAATAAAATGAAGAAAAAGAAAAAAAGGGCAAAAAGGACATTACATAGCAAAAAGCTATTTTACAGTTTGTTCAACCAAACACTACTCTCTTGATTAAATTCATAATCTCATAGCTGCATCAAACAAGTTAATAACTCATGTTTAAAGTTACAATCTATAATCTGTTAAGTTATAATCTATAATCACTTTCCTACAGTTCTATCAAACGCGGCCTCTATCATCTTGGTTTGGCAGCATAATAATTGTAATAAAAAAATCAAAAAATTATTATAAATTGTTATATCACTCTTTTTATTTTTTATACATCATTTTATAAAGGGAAAATCGGTCTAAGGTCCCTATCCAACTTTTAGTAATGGATTAGGTTCACAATCTGTTCTGTTGTAGTCTAAGGTCCCTCACCCCGTACCCTTATATTACACCTACCGTCTGTTTGGAAGAAGTCAATCAAAGTAGTGACATTTTCGTGGCCCTGGGGAACGGAGTCGGCTTCGTTGGCGAGAGGGTTTATGAGTGGTTTATATACAAAGTTGCCTCTTTATCTTCCTCCAACCTAGTTTGGAACTCTGCAGATGAAAGTTTGCATCGATGAAGCTCTAAAATCTACTCAAGAAAATAGATCGCCACCGCCGATGTCAGTCTCCTCCTTCCGCTCCCGATCTCACTTCTCTTTCCACTGTTACGCTATCTCTCACCAGGTCTCTCTCTTTCTCTCTCTCTCTTCGTTGTTGTTTATTCGAAATTTCTAT